TTCTTTCTTCTCTTCTTCTCTCTCTTCTCTCTCTCTCTCTCTCTCTCTCTCTCTCTCTCTCTCTCTCTCTCTCTCTTTCTCTCTCCACCAGCGGATCCAATAAATAGTCGCGCAGAGATTTGCGCGAATGTACCTCACGGCGGTGCGGTGCCGGTTACGAGAGTGTGCTTACAGCCGAAATAGAGCAACGTCTGCGCACTGTTCTCCGACCGTAACACTCTGCCGAGATAACCGCCGCGCCGGTGAGCCGCAGTGCGCTCTTCTTCCACGGTCGCGGAAGGTGGGAAGATCAGGAGGAGAAGGACGTGGAGCGCGTAGAGACGTAGAGTAGAGGTGACCGCGGTGACGGTGATGACTATGGTGGAGGTGGCGCGGTGATGTACTCGTGGTAGTGGAGAGGTAAGTGACGGTGGTGATGGTGATACGGTGGTAGCGTCGGCGGCGGCGGCGGCGGCGGCGGCGACGACGGTGGTGAAGGTGGTGGTAGGTATAGCTTCGTGAGAGGATGCTCGCTGTATGGAGCACTGCACCGTAATGACATGGTCTAGGAGATGCCAGTCAGTTTTGTAATGACGACGATAAAAAGTGAATTTCCACCAAGGTGGGGAAACGCGCCTAGGGCCAATCCGAGGGCACGCTGCCCACCACCGGTGACCAATCGGAGCGCGACATTCCAGAATCCAACTATTCTTCTTCTTCTTCGTCATAGTCGTCTTCTTTTTCTTCTTCTTCTTCTTCTTCTTCAACATCTTCTTTGTCTTTGTCTTCTTCGCTTTCGTCATCGTGTTCTCCTTCTAATACTCTTCCATGGCATGACATCCGCCCCTTGTTCCTCCCCTGCTGCACCAAGAAATGGCTCAAAGGCTACTTGGCTTTGGGCGAAAGTCTTTGTGATGCTTCACGGTGTTTGTGGAAATTGAATAATCTGCAACTATTATGTCATTACATTCCGTAAGTGTGCATTAAAGGGAAGTTGTTGATGGCAAGTGTAGTATGGGTAGTAGAATATAATATAAGAGCGCAGCGCGTTGCGTGCACCTCGAAACTGCTGCTTAAGACGAGTTCGGATAAAATATGTGAACATGTTATAATCTCCCCTGGATTATATTAATTAAGATGAAAGTATGTTTGCTATTTTAATTACTAGAGTAATTAAGTTCGTGACCTCGATATAGACCTTAATTAGTTCTATAATGATCTTTATATTAGGTGCGTAATAAATTAATTTGTACCTGTTAGTTTTGTCATTTCGCAGAGATAAATATTTCAATGATATTGTTAGAGAAATCTTACGGTTTCTGTGATATTTTAATTGGATCGGTGCAACCTGATCGTATTTCAGCAGATCTTACCAACAAAATTGACGAAATATAATAATCGGTTAATATATATATATATATCTATTTGTCGTATCTCTGATTCTGTTATTGTGTCATCACACGCATATTTGTAACGGAATGTTTTGACTTTAAGAACTACTCCTTTTTTTTTTACAAGCGATTAAGACGGAGATCCGGAAAATAAAGGAGAAAGAAGAAAATCTCAGTTAACACTGACCTAGAATTGAAGATAATTGGTCGGCTACGATACTCGCTATCGAATCATTCGCTTCGATGAAATTAATGCGAATATATCTGATAATCACTTTCTCCGCGAAGCATACGGCGAAGAATAAACAGTGACACGTGTCGGAGGAACGTCATGAAAACCGAACGATATATCGGGCCGAATAATAAAATCGCTTCCCGATATTCTCCGGGCGAAACGCTACATTACGGTCTAGTGTTATTTCATATACGTTTTTCAATGATTTAAATTTAATCCGTAATGGGCGGTACAGTTAAGGAGAGGTAGCTGTATCATCGGTAATATCCCGACGGTAATCTATGCCGACGTCTCACTCTGGTATGATAATTGTCCAGAGACGTGGCGCTCGATATTGATATGGAAATACCACGATTCACGGCGCTGCAACATATGTTGCACGCATCAATACGCAGGACGATAAGTCGTTCTTTATTGCATAACAGTAACGTATTTCTTAAAAACCCGGCAAGCGCCGCTCCGCGCACATTCTCTCCGATATTCTTATTGCTTCTTGTATATCAGGACAGGTATGTTTAGATGGGATACGTTTTACAGCTGTCGATGAAACTGCGAATCGACGAATTTTACCGTTCGCTTCCAACGTTTCTGTCACACCTGCATTGATTGCCAATTAAACGCTCGAAATAACTCAATTGTTGTTGTTGTTGTTGTTGTTGTTGTTGTTGTTGTCGTTGAAATTTCTTCATACCATACATATCATAAGATATCGACGGATTGCTAAATCAAAAATTTATAATAAACTTATAATATTTATAATTTATAAAAAGAATTTGATTATAAGCAAAAACTAATTGTTTCTTATTATTATTACATATCACCGTGTCTCAATCTTTCTTTCTATTGATTATTACAATCATAATTCCTAGTCTACCGCTCCCTCTTCCTCTCTGTTTATCATAATTTA